TAGAAATACATTCAGTATAGGAGAATCCTAAAAAGTTTTTTGACTTTACTGAAAATGCCTGCCAATTTCAACATACCTTGCACTTTTTCATAGCTTTTCTGGTAAATGCAAGCATGCAGTGAAAGAGAATATAAAAATGTAAGCAAACTGGCACATACTGAGGGAAATAATCATCTTACTTTGATTTATAAAAATATTCCAAATTGAATGACCATAATTATCCCAATCCTTACACTACAGAAAAAAATATTTCTTTCAAATCACATATACTATATATACATATATATATAATGGTGTTAAAGACTATTTAGTAGCCTTACTTTTAAATTATGCAAGTCATCAAACCTTGTGGTAGTACAACATACTGTTCTTTCTTTCAACTTTACAGAAAACATGCACATGAAAAAATAATTAATAGTAAAAAGAGGGATTTACATTTCCCTATACTAAATATCCTAAGCAGTCTTGTGATGCCTGGCAATTCACAGGCAAGGATACTGCACTTAATAAACATGGTTAATACAAGAACAAGAGAATGTTAAATCATTAATGTATGGGGAAAACAGAGTAAATAACAGCAACCAAGTTTTTGGGCTATTGTCAAATAATTACACAATAAATAATAATTATCTTTTAGTTAAGCAATGTCAGATAAGCGAGACTACCAGAGTTTCTAATCAATGGTATAAAAAGCATTCCAGTTGGAGAAACTAAATGCTAAGAGTGCCTTGTGCGTTCCAGGTTTGTAGGTACCTTCACCGAAACCCTAAAGCTGAGAGTTAGTTCTGCTGGTTCTGCGAAAACCTGTAAGATTTATTGTAGTACGGCCCATACACCATCTTCACCTCCTGCCTGTAACCCCCAATGAGAGATATTTGTCATTAATCTTGGTCCATTACTACCCCACCCAAGGGACTTGATTCTATGTTAGTTTACTCAGTGAAAAAATGTGTATTACTATATTTTGTCTTCCTCTAAATAAGATGGGCTGATTTCAATATCCATCATCTTGAGTCTACATTATCAATACTACGATCATCAATAATACACTACTATTTTACTGTAGTTGTCTTATATAAAATATTGTTAGCTATTCACTTCATGTGCTAGTAAATGTGCTTTGATATAAAGTTCACTTTGATTTTCTCACGAGATAAATTGCAATCTATCATTCTATACTGTTGCTCAATTATCCTATATTGTTGCTTTCATATTATCCCTCTTTGTTGAATGGTATGGGATTATATTGTTATTCAGACAAAATATCAAAAGGTTGAGAACTGAAGAAAATGAAAATCCAAATCTAAAACAAACACTAAAAAAAAGATATTCAAAATTTTGCCTTGCATAAACAGTAAAGTATACATGACCCTGACACTAAGACTATGGGGCTCCTGGTTTATCCCAATTGATTAAAGTGCTATTACACTGTATGAAATCTCACTGCTGAGATATTCAATATCTGTGTTGGTACAAGAAATTTAACTAGGTTTAATACAGAAAGAATGAAGATAAAAAGAAAGACCACAAAGTATTTATCAAACTCAAACCTTCCAAGGATATACTGAAAGAAAAACCCTCATACTTGTTGGTAATACAATCCCCTTCAACCCATAAATTGTGAACCACTGGAGCAACAGAAAGCATTTTCATTACATTCTTTGGTTATACAATCCGCCCTTTTGTAATTATTCCCTCTGAGGCTTTCCAAACCGTCCCTCCCTTTTATCCAAACCCTTTCCCTTTATAATCACTTACCCCTTCAATCCAAGCACTATCATCCCTAACAGTCCCTCTGTAATTGATTCCACTCCTTGAAATCCAAGCCCTAAGATCGATATGCACTTCTTCCCCTTACAATACGACATCCCTTTGTTCCAGGCCAGAGTGGCTGATACTCACTCCTTCCTATTAGCTGCGATGTTTGAGAGCATCGAGTTCCCTGAGAAGAAGGTGACGACGCCCACCATGAACAGATAGCGGAGGGTGGTGAACATGTCTAGTTGGAGCCAGAACAGGCAGAAGAGTCCCAGAATAGCTGTTGAAAATGGGGAAAAAAGGGATGTCAATATAAAAGAAAAACAAAAAAAAGATGCATGGCAAATTCATTCCGTGGCATTTTTTATAAAATTTCAATAAAAAAATAACCATTCCAAAAGAAATACACATTTTCAAGGAGGTAACAGTATATATATATATGTATATAGCTAATAGTATTCCAGTATGCTAATTTGGGTTCTGAGAGTATATACTCGTACAAAAATTCACTGAGTGAAGAATAAATATAAGTCCTTTTTGTATCACTTCTTACCTGCAAGACCAACATGGAATACAACTGAAGAAAGAGACAGAGGGAAGTTGGCGAGGTTTACACCAAGCTTTGCCCACTGGAACAAGAGAAATTGTTGTAAAAAAATGGTTTGATTTTAAACATGTCGAGTGTAATATAGGCACACACCCACACAATCTTTTTAATAACTTTATTTTTAAGTATAAAAGACTAATTATCTTACTCATAGCAATATTGCGCACAAAATATGAAGATAAAAGTACCACTGTTCCCAACTCACCATGGCCAAGAGCAGTAACAGAGGCACTAGACACAAGATGGTGAAAGTCAGGGACACAAGGGTAGAGGGACGAGGGTCAGGCTTGCGGAACTCGTGCTGGATCTCTGGACGAGCCTGAAACAAAGAATTCCCTTTTCTCAGAGACTATGGCTATTCCAATTTTTGTCTGAATATATTTTCTGGGCCAATTCTTTTACATATTGAAATCTGCTTTAAAAATCTTTTCTAAATCTACACATGATATTATAAACCAATTATTCAGTAAAGCCAGAACTTCTACACTCAAATTGCAATTCCAACAAACCCGTAAGATGCAATATTCATCATAATCACATTATAAGCTCTATCTTTTCATGTCCCTACCCTCTTACTATACAGAAAGGTAATAACTGTTTATATTACAAATAATTAACAAATGAATCAAAGAAAATATATAAATATACAAATAATAATCAATAAATGTATCAAAGATAATAATCATACAATGTCATGGAAGAAAAAATATTGAAGGCACTAACAATTGAAAGCAAAGGGCCAACCTTGTAAGTGTAGTCCTGGGATGGGGAAGACACACTGCCCTCAGGGAAGGAGAGAGAGACATCCCCAATGTGCCACAGGGTTGGGTTGCTGATGGAAGCATCGCCGATGATCAGCTCCATGGAGTACGAGCCACTAACTCCACCAAACTCCTTGACATTGTTGCTGACATCCTTTAGAGAGGAAGAAAAAATGGGTGTTTGAAATTTCCAAATCGAGCAAATTAGATTTTTTATTCCTTTGTTTTTGTACCTGTACTCTTCATAGTGTGTTTAACATCTAGGATTAGATAATCATCTTGAACTGCAAATCTTATTTCCCATCATTTTAAGATGTAATTTCCTACCCTAAAAATCAACCAAAAATTTCCTATTCAATAAATGAATGCTACCACTGATGGCAACATTGTTAATCTTATTATTATAGGGACTACTCTACTTTTGTTACTCTACTTTTTGATTAACATCCTTGATAAATTTGTTATGATAATGTAGTTTTGTCCTGCTTACCATCGTAATCTATCAAGAAAATGGCATTAACTGGTAAAGTTTGTTTTACTTCATATGAAATATAGTTGTGCATTATCAAAATTCTATTCTACTCTTGAGCATAACATTGCATATTATTACTTATTTAGTTTAATCAAAGGTAATGTAGGATAGCAAGAGTAATATGAAACTTAACAGTTTTTAGATATTGAGACTACTGGTGTGTACTACATCATCTGATGATAATGAAGCAAGACAATTGTAATATTTCAGATTCTTCAAAAGTATAGGTGCTTTACTACAATGACACTGTCCATGGTGTGAAATCCAACAATTCTACATCGAGATAAAGAGGTATTCAGAACTAAAATATAGTGTCAAAATAAAAATACCAACACTATTTAAATTTCCGTTCTAAAATATATCACAGATAGCAAACAAAATAGACATTAGTAACAAAGAAGAGTACTAACCATATCAAACTTGTATACATCATTAGAGTCTGTTTCAGCCACAAATATAATTTCACGCTTGGACTCAATGTGTGTGATTTTGACAAAGGCTTGATGGACCTCAGTTGAACGTCCTGATGCTAAGTCCCGAACAATGAAACGGAGCAGCACACGCTGGTGCTGGTCGGCTAAAAGTTCACTAGGTAGCTTATTAGGGTAAGTCAACCTGTGAATAAATTACAAAGTCAAATTAAGCTTCTACATAACTCAGGTTATTAAGCACTCATGTTGTTTTCACAATATCTTTTTTCATCACCTTCCCACTTTTTGTAAATAGAATAGAATAAAACGAAAAAAAAGTTACAATCACAATCCTTTGAAACAATCTTACTTTACTTGTAACCTTATAAAGAATCAATAAATGAAACTCAAGCAATATAATCCTTGAACAATCATTTCACAATGTTTTCCTTGAAGAATAATACTAAAATGCAAAACAAATAAAATATAATGAGGATGTTGTATTGACAAAACAAATTGCTACACCGAGACAAAACAACTCTGGAGACTCACTTCTGCAAGCTTGGGGCTGTGGAGCGGTCAGAGTCAGCTGTTCCCACCTCTACACCCTGGATATCAATGGCTGTGAGGACCTTAAAGGTAAGCTGAGCAGCCATGTGACCAACCAGGCGTGAATCTGAGGTAACGGTGCTCACCACCAGGCGGTAAAAGCCTCGCTCTGGCTGCCGGGACATCACGTCAAATTCATACACTCCACTGTGGAAGGGAAAGGGAATCTCATGTATGGTATTGAAAGAGGAATAAAGATTCTAACATTTAGCATGGGGAAATAATACTTTAGTACATAACTACTTCCAACAACATATCACTTTCCCATACAAGAATCTAAACTTATCCTCTACTAAACCCTATGATACAAAAATTATAAAAAACTTACTCTTGTCCAGCAAGTGGAGACAATTCCTCCTTGGACACTATGACAACCTCATCTGAGTCACGTGTGGCAGAATCTGCAACAACACGAAGGGAACCAAGACTGCTGCCCTTCAGATCTGTCACTCGTACCTTAGGGAAAACATAGCAGAATGTGAAGCAGGCCAAAATTACTAATGACTACATAAAAATACTAAGATTAATATATAAAGAAATAACCAATTATAAAAACACTTCATAATCCAAACAATTCTGATAATATAAAATCAATATACAACTATACGGCAGTAAAGACATACCTGAACACGAGGAGCATCAGCACTGACAGCTACATTACTAGCCAGTGTGATGGCTACAGGAATATGGAACCTACAAAAAAATACAGTAATGAAGCAATCAGTAGCAACTGATGATGATGAAATAATAATGGGATCAATCATTTCATGTGCATTATGGCATTTCTTTATTTCTATGCCTATAAAACTAAATTTTCAACAACTGGTAGTACTTTATTCTCATCCCTTTACAGTACATAATCATATCTCAATTGCTCTCTTACTCCTTATGATGAAGAAATGAAAAGGTCACATTTTCTATTATATTTTGTTTTTAATGACAAACAGAACCAATTTTATTGATGCTATCATAAAGAACACAACTATCACTACATCCTCACCTGTTGCTGGTGAACATGGATACAGCCTCCAAGAGGTAGTAGACCCCCTTGGGCACCTGCACAGACTTGCGCGACATCAGGTAATTGGCGAACTTGACGGCTTGGTCAGGCTTAATTGGTGGAGCCTTGTTTGAATTCTCAGCCAGCTTGTAGGCACCACTTAGAACCAGGGCTGGGAAGCAAAGAGGGAGAGTAAGTGGGAGAGAAGTTATGGCCTAAGAAAGGGAATGTGTGTGTGTGTGTGTGTGGGGGGGGGGGGGGGGCTTAGGGAGAGTAAGCTAGTGAATGGAGGTGGGCAAGGAATGTGTGTATTAGGGTGAAATCAGAATGGTAAAGGTTGAAAATGCTACATCTTCATTGGTTCCAGAGAACTACCAATATCAAGAATACATCTATAAAGTGTTAATAAAGTTCCAGACTCTATTGCTCCGTTCCACATACTTGCACGGTGATAAGGGTGATAATTATCAGAAAGTGGATTTGACTTACCAGTTATTGATAATCCTCCTTCAAATTGCAGCATCCGCCCATCAACTTCATCAGCCTGAACTATCGCATCCTCAATCCTCTCAAAGATACTGCTGACTTCCCCACGGAGCTGAGACCCAACATGGAAGGCATAGCCCAAGCTGTAATAAAAAAAGAAAAAGAAAAACTTTATATTTCTAATATAATTCAATTTGATGCAATCTTTCAATGTGTTCTCATGTTACGTTTTTTTCTCTCATCATAAAATTCTCTTCCTCTCCATGAATCACATTTTCCCCCTCTCTTGTTTTGTAAACACATAACATCTCACTAACCTTAGTACGCTGTCATCCTTTTTCAGAGCCATCTGTGTAGCCCTCAAGACCTTGGCAACATCTACCTCAACCCCTAGATTTGTGGCGGCAGTGACAGCATGGAAGAGCTCCAGGGGAGAGGCCCCTTCTCGAATGGCGTCACTTACAGCCTGTATTCATTTGCAAAAGAGATTTATTAATCTAATAAATAGAACAGTAAAGAGTAAGTATACAGATATCTAAACATGTGTATTGATCTGTTTATACATATATGTATATTTTAAGTCCTTCCATATGGGAAAGAAAACATGCACTCCACATGCATACTCTGTAGTAAAATTTTACTATGTTGAACATAATTTGAATTTGATCTTCAAATTAAAAAAATTAAATGATCATAATTTCATGCTCTACTATAATATCACAACATCATCTTTCTTATTCCCTCAGACTATTTTGACAATTCAATACTGTATAAAATACTATATATGACATAAATAACAAGATTTCTATTATCTTAACTTTCATCAAAAAAACATCCTTGCTGTGTTTTAAATATATTAACAAACCTGCTTGGAGGCTGCAGTGGCTGCCACAGGGCACCCAAGTGCTTTGCCAGCTGAGGAAGCCAAAAACAGAGTTTCGACTGTCGCTCCATCACCAGCAGAGCTTTTGACAAAATTGCACACTCCCTGGAAATGGAATCAAAAGCACATACATCAAGATTTTATACACGGATGGTAAGTAGCTCTTCTACTTTATATAACATTTTCAGCTTCTGTATTGAAAATTTCTGAAACCTATATATACAGCTTGATATGTTTTTTGCTGGATATTTATTAGATATACAGCCTAGCCTGGAGTACATTGACAAGAATATTATAGAGTATGAAACTTCAAGCCTAAGCCTAATATTCAAACACACACCAAGTTACAGGTTTTGCAAACGAACCTGCTCATTGGGGATTGGCTGGCCTAAGTGCTTATAGCCTGCTGAAGCATATAGGACTTGTGCGAGGTCTGAGAGAGACCACGCTGGGTCTAGGACTAGCTTCAGCCTCTCCTTGTCAGCTGGGGTGAGGTATGTGGAGGGGGAGAGGGCAGAGCTCACCCCCAGGAGAGCAAGAATTACCAGTGCCCCTGCAAGGAAGACAAAAAAACAATTTAGTACAGAAGAAATGTATACGGAGAAAGCCTTTCTTATTTCACAAAAACAGATGGCGTCTCTCACAGCCCAAGTCCATCTTGACTTCTGTCCTACTACACACCTATGTCACCACTACCTCACAACCAATCGGCAGGCGGCAGTTTAACATAGATTTTTAATTGCTCATTAAAGTTCAAGTATAATATTCCATATACTAAATCATTTTCATATATATTCACGACTCAGCCGATTTTATGTTACTCTGTGTATTTTGATCCTTCTTTTTGGGCAACTCATTAATATTCTTAATTGCCAAACTACTTAAACAATACAGTAAATACTTAGCACATGCAAATAGCACACATAGCAATACAAATAAAGTCGTCCACACTATATATACCTAGGAAAGTATAATAGTATTATAAACTAGTTTTCGCACATGTCGGTGAAGTTAATAAAATTGTGGAGAACTCTCAGGTTGTGCTTTAATTGAAATTCAAAAGTTGCCTCTCCGCACACGCACAATCCTCGTTATCTGCAACAGCATCGAATGCAAACAATACTGAGTTTTCTGAAAAGTTCATAGATGTTGCTGCGTATCCCCAGTAAATTTGTATCATATCAAAAAATTAGATGATAAAATTCTCATTTCTTGTATTGATATCTTCATAATATTGATCTACATACATATATATGATTTAATATAACGACAATTTTCAATATCTTAAGTTATTCATCGTCGGTTAATGCCATGAACCTTTCGTTACTGATTCGACTGTCCTTTTTGAGAGTACACAGGACATTTCGACCCTAGCGACTTTGGTGAAAACAAGTAACAATGACACATATGCCCCCGATATGGGGTTAGGAAGGTATGCTTCATTTGTCCGGTGATCTTTTAGAAATTTCGACTAGATTTCGGCAACTCTGATATCGGTGCGACGCATCTTGCAGCAGCGTGAACAAAAAGTTCACATATTTATCAACAGTTTTTATTTTAATTACTTTTTCTACTTTTACGAACGTATAATCTGATTTTTGGCTTAGTATTTTCATTCTTTCCCTTTTCTTCCCCTTTAGTTATTATGAAGTTTGGCCTGGGTTTTTCATTTTAATGCTTTCACTTTTTTATTACTAAGTGTGGTTCGGGTTTTTCATTTTTACACTTTCACTTTTTAAATCTGGACTCTTATTCAGATTTTGCATTTTTTCAAAATTTTCACTTTTCATTCCACAACTTCTCCCACATGTCCCCCAGCCCTTCAACCCGATTCCCTACGGGTCCCCCAAGATTGATGGGGGTAGGAGAAAAAACAAAAATAGGCATGGCTGTTTTACTTAAAATTACCACGCCCACATTTCTGGACTACACCGTGACCTGCCTTATTCTTCTCAGTGACACAGACTGATATGTGTCATTTGTGTTATGGTGGTGTGCTCGACTTTTCCCCCCTGAAATCTAATGGAAAAATTAAAGAGACCATGAAGTTTTTACAGATTCACGGAATCATCCTAAATGAGAGAAAGTGCAGTGCAATTTTCTGAGCTGTTTCAGCTCTATCTTGCCATGCATAATGAGGTGAAGAGAATGTTTCCTGGGGTGTTGGGGGGCGGAGCCCCATCAACCCTCCTTTCTGGCACGCCCAGTCATGGCAACTTGGACCGTTGAGTAAATTTTGTATTGGTTACTGTATGCACTTGCACTTTCTTATATTCAAATATGGTGCCGTATTCGGACACTCGCATTTCGGAAAAGTCACATTTCTTTGACCTTCATAAAAAGGACCTTTGGCTCACATTTCCAAAAAGCTGCATATCATTGCATTCATAATTATCTTCGGTCCTTTACTGATATTGAAATCAAGCTGAGCTCACTCTTTATCCCTCCCCCCCAAACCCCAGATTCCCCCAAGATTATTGGGTGGAGTACCTTAAAGAATTTCCTCTTTTAATACAGCTTAAGTAAACAGTATTTTTTAGACCTTAATAAATAATATATATTGAAAAGATGATGCTAATAACAAAGTATCACCTGTATTGCATAGAGGATACAATACTTGCAGGGATGGTATGGAGTCTGCATAATGAAAACAGACTGTCAGCAACATAAGAAAATAAGAAGGTAGTTTTTGTAAAATGACAATATAGCAGCAACGCATCTACAAAAAAGCGGCTAAGAGCAGGGTCGCAGAGGGTTGACACCGCAAATAATTACTCGTGTGGGCCGAGTGTACACGCAGCAATCCTAAGAGAGTGGCTGCCACAGTAAGCCAAATCCCTAGAGTTTGGTCCAGACACGAATCTCGACACAACCAGATTGTAGTGTTAATGTCCGTTTTCAATAAGGTGGCATGAAGTGCTAATAAAGGTGGGGTACAGGAGGGGCCTTGCCCTCACCCACTTCCCCATCTAGGGAATGAATAAAAGGTAGGAAAGTTTAAGTTTGCATTTTTGAGTTTGCACGATATCCCTGGATTTGGGACTACATCTTTGGAGGGTGTGTCACTCATAGTAACAAATACTGAAATAAAGAAAATAGGTTATGACAAGTACCATGGTGAGAGTAAGTCTATGGCGATCGGGTGGGGGTCCTAGGGCAGAGTTCCTGACTCGAAAATACAGCGATCAGACCGGGGTCTCGGGGTGAAGGCCTTGGGTTAGGAGGTTCATATGGCAATGTTTGTGGGTCTTCCAGGAGTGGCTTGAGTAATAGGCATTTAGTCTCAAAGACTGTCACGTCATAAACAGTTGCCAAAAATTATTTATATAATTTGTGATGGAAAGCAACGACAGATTCATGCATGTTACAATGTGCATAATTGAAGTAAGGAATATTAACTGGAAGGTTTTATGGCTGTGCGGGAAAAAAAATTAATATCACAGAGGAGTTGCATGTCGATCAGTATCACGTGTCTTCGGCACTTCACCAAAGGGCTAAAATGCTCGTTTAATCACTTTCTTGCAAAATCTGTGATGTCCTGTCAAAATGAAGAACCAGTCCTAGCTTATGCCTTCACTGTCACACTGAATTTAATCATAATGAATAGTACATGAAAAAAGTTCCCTTTTGAAAGCCATTGCAGATTAAGCAATAAAATGCTTACTTTTTCATAATCTAAACCAAACAAACTACTGGTGCTGGAACTCTTACAGGCTGTGCATCATTAGCCGTTTTCCTCCCAACTGCTTGACATTTATTAATATTCATCAATAATAAGTACTAACCATGTTGCGCAGACCAAATTAACTCCATATGAAATTCACATCAAGAGTTCCTGATAAACAACCCACAACCTCCTCCGGTAATTAGAAAAAAGACCGGATTCCTCAGCCGACACGTCAACAAATCCCTAATTCTTCCTATATATCCCCACCCTTCTGCATCATTTTCTAGAGGATATATAGCGTTAGGCAGGTTCTAACGCCTCGAATAAGGTCGCAGAGACATAAAAATCGGATAAAAAGGTTTGCAAGGTGTGCGCGAGATCGGCCATGTTAACCGGCAGCCAATCAGAGCGCCGTTGCGTGTCCCTCTCGACCAATCAGCGGCCGAGCTCGCCGGCGTCCGCATAAACAAAACCCGAAGACTTCCAATAAACCGGTATTTTTTACGTATTTCGCTCTAGTACACACATCAAACATATCTCAACCTATGTATACGCACTTTTCCTGCTCTGTCACTGATAAACAAGGGGTGATATTTATATTAAGACATTAAAAATAAGCGAATATATTACCTCGTCTCATGCTTCTGTTGCCTGTCGATGGAAGTGTCAACAGACGTACTGGACAGAGACCTTGTATGTAAAAGCTGGGCTCTGCTTCGGGTACTGTCATATATTGTATATAAAGCTGAAGATGACTGTTTATTAGAGGATAAATAATTCTGTTTTTTGTAAAATCACATATGTTAACATACAAGGAAAAAATCCTTTTTTATCAGTAAAGGTTTACATACGCTTTAAATGTCATTTTGATTCCGTATGCCTGCCTCATCAACATTACACATCAACATATTTTGAATGAATGCAAAATAATTATCTGATCCATTTGGATAGACAAAATGTTCTGAAAATATTGGAATAATGTAAATGACATGAAAATGTCGTCACGAATTCAGTGGGATCCGAGACCCCTGACGCGACACGTGTAGCGTTGCCGTTATCTTTTTACTAGGCGTGTGATCTGTAGATATACTTGTGTGATAGCTAAAGTATATGTTTATAAAGAATTTATTTTTTTTTGTATATCTGCCCAAGAGTATGGATACTTATTTACTTATTTCTTATCTCCTTGACTTTCTGCCAAAGTATCTGTCAAAAGTATTATTTTATATACGAATTCTTCAGTGTCAAATAATGACAATAATGAAATATTAAAAAAATAGTTATAATAATAATAGTGACACTAACAACAACAATGATAGTAATAGTAATAGTAAATATAGTAATAATTCATGTTATTAATAATGAAAATAATAATAAAATGATAATGACATGATGATGATGATGATGGTGATACGAAAAGGATTATCTTTATCATTATAAGGATAATGATAGTAACTCATTACAATGCTATAAAAATGATGATGATAATAATGATAACAGTATCAAAAAGCATAATGATGATAACTTCTAGAACAATGATAAAGATAACAATAATAAAAATGATAATTACAATAGTAATAATAATGAAAATGACAATGATGATAATAATAATAACAGCAATAATAATAATGATGACAATAATAATGATAATAGCAACAACAACAAAAACAATAATAATGATAATGGTAATAACAAGAATAGTAATCATAAAATATGATAATCATAGCAATAATGATAATAATAACAATGATACTAATATTACAACTACTACTACTACTAATAGTGAT